TGTGTGTGTGTGTGTGTGTGTGTGTGTGACAGAGAGAGAGAGAGAGATAGAGAGAGAGAGAGAGAGAGAGAGAGAGAGAGACAGAGAGAGAGAGAGAGACAGAGAGAGAGAGAGAGACAGAGAGGTTGAGTAACCTCATATGTTTTCTCCCTCTTTCTCCGGTATACCAGTACAGTTGGGGAAGAAGATGAGTTAAGATACAGAGTTCAGGGTTGGGTCCAGTGAAGACAGCCAGATGAGTGCAAAGCGTAAGGCCATTTGTACAGGCCGTTTGTACAGTTCCCAGTGGGGAGACTAAATATTGGTCAAAGGGTAAGAGATATTTTGTACATAGACAGTTAAATTACAACTGAGTCAAAATGCGGAGTGCTTCAAGGGGAAATTTACAGACTGAATGCAAAGTCCAGAGCCCTGAATGCTTCCCAAAGTGAGGGACTTAGGTCCCTGCCTCCACCAGCATGAAGAACCAGAATCAAGGTTTGAGGTGTTTACAACCTGGGTTTGATTGTTGGTCCCAACAATAGCATTTGCAGCGAGTCCCATGTAGTATGGGGGGTTCAGGATTTAAGCAAAAGTCTTGGGTAATGTTGGAGGATGAGCTATTAAGTACTTTAAACATCAATTCCAGAGATCAAAAGACGGGGCTTTCAGATTGTAGTTACACTGGGGCAGGAAGAGACCATTCGGGGACAGATGGGGAGAGGGGGGAATTCGTGGTGGGGGAGGATAACTGCTCAAGTGGCAGAGTGAGCCCACCGAGGGGGCTTATGGGTTTGGGATGAATTGGAGTATTTCCCGGTTTTCCCTGAATGGTAAAGAATGCACCATGGTCCCACCCAGTGACACAGAGGCAAATGCCCCAAGTTTTTCCTTCATTCTAAGAAGAATCTCCTGATTGTTTAGGCCAAAATAAAACAGAGCACTTATGGGAGTCATATCTAGCTGACACATAAGGGTCACTCTTTACCAGAGGGCTACATTTTCACAACCCCAAGCAGTTTGGTGACAATAATAATAGTGGTGCCGGGCGGGCCCAGGGCTGTAAGAACAGCCCGTGCTTTTTCTTGGGAAAATCGCCAGACACAGATAGAATGGAGGTGGGCCTGATGGGATATATCAACCCGATCCTAATGACCCAAATGCTCCAGATGGAGCAATGCAGGTGGTACGGGTAAGGGTGATACATGTGGGGTTATTAGTGGAATCCCATCCCGTAATTGAACAGAGGGTGGTGTTAAGGAGGGTATCTCAGAGGCTACTAGTAGAGGCTAAGTTTACTCCATCTGAAATTTTACTCAAAATCTATGTATAAGCTATAGGACAATGGTCTTTCGTGGGAATGGGTGGAATAAGAAGGATTATACACATAAACAGATTTAGGGCCCACATCTTTGGAGCTTAACTTCTAAAGAATCAGAAGATTTGAGGGATCGGGAGAACATGGCGGACAGACAACAGCAACTTCTGAACGCTCTCTAAAGGCTCGGCTCAGAGGCCAGGAATGATGCGGACTAAGGAGATACGAACCAGTAGAGATATGCTCTGCTGACTCAGGAACAAACTGGGCTGAGAGAATCCAACTTGGAAAACAGTCCTGGCGCTAAAATAGGAACAGAAAAATCTCGGTGTGGAGGCTCGACTCCACGCCATTGGAAACCGCGGTTTGGATTTCCCGCCGCCGCCCGGCGGCCGGCTACCTCCATAGCGGCTCAGCAAGGAGAGACACGACCGCCGAGCTCTGGGAACGGGAGTCCCCGAACAGAGTCCCCACGCCATTGGAAACCGCGGTTTAGACTTCCCGCCGCCAGGCACCCGGCTACCTCCAGAGGGGCTCGGCAAGGAGAGACACGCAGAGGCTTGGGAACGGGAATCTGCGAATGGAGTCGGAAACGCGACAGCCAGGGAGGAAGGCTGACTGGTGGCGAGGTGAGCGAGGAACTGACTCCCTACCGCAGTCTGACTCCAGCGGAGGATTTTCTGGGCGCGGGCAGTCCTGTAAGAGCAGGGCGCGGTGGCAACTGCAGCCGCGCATTTCCCTCTCGGACGGGATTGGTGAAAGGTGCCTGGCCGGAGGGACGCTGCTCGCGGACCCCCTAGGCTGGCCTAACCCAGATCCCAGAGCCTGACGGTGGCCCGGAGGAGCGACCGACTCCCGCGTAGGCTGCCTCCTCCGCAACTCCCTGGGGCGCAGCGGTGAGCGGGAACAACTAGCCAGCGCAATTTGATCAAGCTGTGGCTGGCAGGCAGGGAAGCCGGGCCTCCTGTGTAAGATTACATTTTATAAGGAACAGAAAATATGGGGAAGGGAAGCAACAAAAAAGGCTCCTCGACCCCCAATCCTGAGAATCAGGCAATTGTGGACACTGCACCATTATACATTAAGCGCCATTTAGAGAGCCTCATAGACCAATTCAGGAATGAAGTTATCAATGACCTGAAGCTAGAAGTATGCAGAATAGTTAGAGAAATGCTAAGCACCACCCAGGAAAAAGCGGATGGTGGAATGGAAGAACAGAAAAAGAGGGGAGAATTGCTTGATGGAGAAAACAGAGAAAGCATTGAGTATGTGAAGCAGGTGCAAAGGGACTATCAAGAAATTAAGAAGTCTACCCAAGACTGGCATAACAGCTTGAAAGAAACTAAGGACAGACTATCTGAATTGGAGGGCAGACTTGAAACATGGGAGAATGAAATGAAAAACTTCTTAAAAATAACAAAGAAACACACAGCAATAATACAAAGACAAGAAGATGATAAGAGGAGCCATAACTTAAGGATTAAGAACATAAAAGAAGAAGTAGGGACAAAAACAAGTGAACTACAAAAGCTACTCACAGAAATAATCCAGGAGAATTTTCCTAATTTAGCAAAAGGTAAAGATACTCAGATGTATGAGGCATACAGGACCCCAGCTACCTACAACCCTAACAGAGAAACACCCAGGCATATAATAATAAAAATTCCAGAAATTCAATACAAGAACAGAATATTAAAAGCTGTAAGAGACAAGAAACAGATCACTTACAAGGGAAGACCCATCAGAATTACAGCAGATTTCTCTTCACAAACCATCAAATCACGAAGAGCATGGGGAGAAATAATTCAAGCTTTGAAAGATAATAATCTCCAGCCAAGATTGAGATATCCTGCACAACTGTCCCTGGAAATTGATGGAAACACGAGGTGCTTCCAGGATAAAGAGGAACTGGGGGAATTTGCAACCACCAATTCAACCCTACAGAAAGTATTGCAGGATATTCTAAAAAAAGAAAAATACAAAGAACCCAGAAATAGGGGCGGGGAGGCCACAACGAATGGAGCAGAGAACAAAATGAAGAAGACAAACTGACAGCTACTGACAGAAAAAGAGCTCAACAGAAATGAGACAGAAGATTGGATGATAGGAACAGCTTTTCTGTGGAGAAAATGACATCTTAATAGGTAATACTGATTTAGTACCATCTTGTTTTGAAGTCTCATCTAGCTTTTGTTCTTCTGTCTCCAATGGTCTAAACAGGTTGTATCTTATTGGATTTTGTTATGTACGATAGTATAAGAAAAAACCTTTTAAAGACAAGGAGAATATACAGAAACCATTGTTCATTTTCTGTTAGTCGATTCTAAATACTCTATAATGCTGTCATTCTCTTAAATGGATTTACATTGTTTTGATATACTTAATGCTACAGTATATGAAGTTGTACTCAAGGACTTCAGGGAGGGAGTCAATATGGTAACTATTTTTGGGTCAGGATTAGCTGGTGGTGAAACACTATTCTGCTTAAGTGGTTATGTTTTGATCTGCCCTGTTTCGCTGTTATGCCCTCCTTTTTCTCAATCTCCACTCCATTATTTACTTTTTTATTTTTATCCATTTAATTAAAGGGAAAAATATAGCAGGATATAATATAGTAACCCACTTTGACTTTCTATTATCTCGATTTGAAGCCCTGTATTACTCTCACCATCTTGTTTTTGACTGAGGTTCCTATATTCTGTTTTGCTGGATAGTATCAGGTTCGAAAGTTTAGGCATCAGCTGAGAAGATAATGAGATTCATTATAACGCCCATTCTCGTTGACTTTTATCTACTTTTGAAGACCTACAATATCTCCAATGTTTTGGTTTTGTCGGTTTTATTCTTTACGGTTTTGTTCAATTGTATTACAACTAATGATATAGGCAATTCTATTAGAAATAGCGGGAGGCGTTATGGTAACCATTGTTGATCACCTTGTATTATGTTCTTATATTATCTATTATGTCCACCCTTTTGACTTGACCGATTCTATTCTGTTATGTCACATTTGGTTTTACTCTCTTCCAAAAAAGCAACAAGAACCGTGGGAGCAATGAAACCCAAAATGTGTAATAGTCACTGTACAAAAGAGAGGAAAAGAAAGTGCTCTAAACTATATAACTGCATGTATATTTAAATGTATAAGATAGAAAATGATATCACAGAGTTTTATTGGATCATTGAACAGAACTGTTTGCAGTATCATTGTTGGAATGTCCACTCTACAAGCTTTAATTTTGTGACTTAAACAATTATTTCTAAGATGGCAATATGTAATCCATTAACTAGTGATTTCCTACTGCGCATTTTTTATTCTGTAAATCTGTATAACTTGTACCCCTTCACTGTTTTTTTTCCTTTCTTTTCTTTTCTCCTTAAATAAAAATTTAAAAAAAAAAAAAAGAATCAGAAGATTTTTTTGATAGTCCACTTAGCTGGAGTCTCTGGTCCTGTGGGCTTGAAGTGGGAGTGATGAATCCAATGGCTCTTAAAGCCTGAGCCCCTCCTACTATGTGGGACTCACTGTGAATGCTACCGCTTTTTTATGGGACTTGTGCCCTGAGTAATTTTCCAGTCTTTTAGGTCAATACAGGGCACAAGATGGAGTCATTTATGCCAAGCTATAACAATACTGTGCATGCGCAATTTAGTATGCAGATAAGATTCTTGAGGACCCATTTACAAATCCCTGGAGCTATTTATGGCCCTGAATCAAGGTTAGCAGTTTTCTGATGCTGTTGTTTTCAAGAAGGACCCTAAGTTGGTATCTTTCTATGGTCTGCTGGTCATTTCAGAACTTTAGAAATGTAATGGTTGATTCATTAGGAAAAAAAAAAAAAAAACAACCATCTCATTGTGAGCCCATCCTATGGGCCAGGAGGAAAAGAAGCCATCCCCCCCCCAACCCCACTGAGCCTGCCACTGAAGGCCCAGAGAAAGGGAGGCCAAAATGCCTGGTGAGCCCACAGCTGAGGGCCCAGAAAAGAGTCCATTCACCCTACCTGGTGAGCTAGCTGCCACAGCCCAAAGGAGAACAAACCACTCCCCCCACCCTCCTATCCCATGATCCTGCCACTGCAAACCTAGAGCAGAAGAGGCCACGTCTCCCCCATAAGCCCACCATGGGCCTGGAGGAGAGGAAACCACATCTCTGGAGTTTCATTGCCATTGATGGAACCTTCAACACCCCGGAACCTCAGATCAGAGGAACCCAGACATCTAGCCCAATCCCCTGCACCACAGGGTGGGCAACCAGTGCAGGAAACATCCAGGATTCAGCAACCAACTGATGTGGAGGAACACAGGAAAATGTCAAGATGAAGGGTGCAGTCTCAGACCTCCAGCCCACCCAGAGCAAGTCCAGAAGACATAGACACAAAGTAAATTAGAAGCCACACACCTAAAATCTCTGAAATGATGGCAACTGAAATAAAGAGACAACCTAGTGTTTATATTGTTGAAATTTTTTAATTTTTATTTTGAAGGTAGTAAAATACAACAGAACAAGACCGAATAAAGCTAACTGAGACAGTGTAGTGAAATTGGTACATAACTTCACAGCAGGTTACCCCGATAACAGTAATAGGTATCACAGTATATCTCATTATCTTCACAATAATGTTCTTTCAATTACGTATATCAAAATCAAATGAAATACAGAACATTATAGAATGTATCAAAACAGAATATTGAATAGAGCAGTACCATTAATCAGAATAAAGCAAAACACTAATAAAAATATTTGCCTTCAAAGAGATGGTAAAAGGAAATCCCCCTTGTGCTAAGGTCAACCTCCCAAGAGATGCTCAGATCTCTGGTTCCCATTTGCTAACAGAGAGTAAGAGAAGGGGAGAGAGGAAGTGGGATGTTTGACTCTCAGCCCGTGCACCAGTAGGCTCACTATTGCTTAGCAGGGAAGCAGGCTAGTTGCTTGGTTTCCCAGCGTCTTATGATCCAACATGATGTGGATCTCAGGAGACAATGGTGGTTCTCCCCCTGAAGGGGCCACAACCTGCCACACCACAGCCACTTACCAGGAAGGTGAGCTGCTTGCTTGGTTTCCCAGCATCCTAAGTTCCAACATGGCGCAGATCTCAGCAGTTGCTGGTGGTTCTTCCCCTGGAGGGCCGAAGCCTATACTGTTAAACTTTTGCATGCATATGTCTCACCCAAAGCAAGTCCAGGAGACATAAATGTAGAGGTAGTTAGAAGTCACACTTCTGAAATTTCTGAGACGTTGGCAAATTAAGTAAAGAAACAATTTAGTGCTTGTGCTGTTTGGTTAACTTTGTATGCCTGTGTCTGGTGGTCTGAGAATCTATTTAGAGGATAACAATGTGAACTATGGTTGATTTTCTACTGTCCAGTTTAGAATTCCAATGTCATTCCCATTGTTCTGTTTTATTCTCTTTTGAAAAATTCCTGGGGCTCTTTATCTGTGTGATTCCCTATCTTCAAGTACTCTGCCTGCAAATTTAGCTGCCTCAGTTTCCTCTGGCCTCTCTTGTTTGTTCCACAGGTTTGACATTCTTTGTTTGGGATTCCTATCCTGTATCACAATCCATCATAGGTCTCCAGGTAGAAAGGTGGAAAATCATTTTATTTCCCTTCTTTTAGCTATCAGAGTCTCCCATAGCCTATTGTACAACAGCTAAAATGGCTGGTTTATATGTTTTAACAGGTCATTTAAATCCATCTATTGTATTCTGAGGACCATCTGTTTGCTGACTCCTGAATCCTTAGAGTCTAGTCTAGTACCTATAACATAGTGGTATCCAGTGACATATGTAGAATAAATGAGCTCGTTATGATTGTCCAGAGACAGGTTAATTTTGGAATGGGCAGAACTTTCAAGGGTTAGTTTGAATTTACTAGAAACCTCCCTAGATGCAGTTTTTGAAGAGGATATATTATAGCTTTTGCTGTAATTACCAATGATAATGATCACTGATTCCCTTGTACCAAAATAATGGTGATTGTCATGATGATAATCATTTAGGTCCGACACAATTGTCAGATTCTGTGCTGAATGCTTTACATATAATACCTTATTGAATTCTCACAACAACATATGATAATTCTCCTTTTAAAAATGAGGAAACAATGGCTTAGATAGCCTGATAAAGGGAGTTTGAATTGAATTCAAATGATCAGAATTTAATTTATGCTCTAAAGTATCATGATATACTTTTAGGAAAAACTCTTCCACTGAGGAGAGACTCACAGGAAGATAGTATCACAAGGATAGGCATCTGTCCTTGCCAGAGAATTTCAACTCTTGGGGAAAATGTGGGACTTGTGAGTTTTTCTTACTGCTTTCAGAGTAAGATAGTGATAATGGAATTAAAGAAGATTAGAAATGTGACAAACCTTATGGAAAAATAAAGAATAGCATTCTCACCAATTAAAATCCACCCAAAATTGTCTATTTCCATAAGTGCTTAGGAGATTCATTATCTAAACACAGGTGAGGTGGCTAGAAACAAGAGTGAAACCAAATCGAAACTAATTAAAATAATAGTTAAGTAAAAGCACTATTTGTTATGGCAACCATCTTTATTAGGCTTTCTCCCATGACCTGAATTGTATAAAAAAAATTCAGCATTATTCTATTCCATTATCACATTTTGAACGAAAGAATTATTATTTTAAACTGGAAGATTGTATGTACATCATTGTCATGATAGAACATAGTGTACTTAATTATTTTTCACAGGTTTTTAGGAGCAACATTTTAAGTATCAGTTTTTAAAAAATAATTGTAAGAAATACATTTTGAAAAACAGACTGAGGGGAAAAAAAACCACTTTAACTCAAGAATAACAATGGTGGATAAGCAAGGAAATTAGTGAAAACAGAAAAGTTCATTTTAATTTTATCATGTTAAGTTAATAATTTAGAAGCCAATCTGGAAGCATTATATCCTTTATACTGCATCACCTTTGGATGATTTGTGCATCTTTTTATCCCCTACACGCATTCACTCATGTATCATCATCTGCCTCCTGCACTTGATTACTATCACATGGCATTTCTCCTTCTCGACACAAACTGTCAAGTCAAGAAGAGAATGTTGTGAAATATTTCAAGTATTGAGAGAAAACAATTTCCAATCCAGATTGATGTACCCTGAAAAACTGTCTTTTAAAATCAATGGAGAAATAAGATATTTCCAGGACAAAGAACAACTGAAGAACTTCTTGATCACCCAAACAACCCTACAAAGAGTACTAAAAGATATTTTAGAAAGAGATAAAAAATGACCACAATTCCAAGAACAACAATAGAAAGAAACCAACTAGCAGGACAAGCAATAAAACAGAGGGGGAAATTAGAGAACCAACAGTATAAAGCTAACATGACAAAAATAAGCCAATGATATCAGTTATAATCACTAATGTAAATGGCCTCAATTCACCAACCAATAGAAACATACTGGCATCAAGAAACAAAATCCAATAATATGCTGTATATAAGAAACACATTTAACTCAAAAGGAAAGTTGAAGGATGGAAAACAAAACTCCATGTGACAGGAACACGGAAAAAAGCAGGGGTAGCTATGCTGTTTGCAGACAATGTGAACGTCAAACCAAGAATGATCAAAAGAGACAAAGAAGTCAATATGTACTTGTCAGGGGGAAAAATTCAAAAGGAAGAGATAACAATCATAAATACATGTGAATCAAATATGGGAGCACCCAATTATGTAAGACCAACATTAAAAGGTATGAAAATTAAATAAACAATGATACAGTCGTAACAGTGAACCTTAATACCCTGTTGTCACAAAGAGACAGATAAGCTAGATAAAAAATCAGTAAAAAACAATAATAACAGAACTGAATCAAACATGAATAAATAGATTTAGTAGATGTGTGCAGAGTGTACCACCCAACAACATCAGAATCTACATTCTTCTCAGCTGCATGTAGGACTTTCACTAAAATATACAATATACTAACCCATAGAACATGCTTAAGTAAATGCTAAATAATTGAAACTATCCTATGTATATTAACTGATTGGAAACTAATAAAAGAAATCACAAAAGTTCCATAAACACATGAAAATTAAATAGCACCCCCAGTGGGTCACAGAGGAAACTAAAGAAGAAATTAAGCACTATATACAGTCAAACAAAAATGCAAGTACAACTTACCAGAATCTTTGGTATGCTATGAGAGCAGTACTCGAAAGGAAATCTATAGTGATGAACTTTTGCATCAGGAAAATAGAATGAGCACAAATAAACAACCTAATATTGCACTTCAAACTTCTAGAAAAACAAGAACAAGTCAACTCCAAAGCCCAAAGAAGGGAGAAAATTATAAAGGTCAGAGCAGAAATTAATACAGCTGCAACTAAGAAAACACAATACAAAGAATTAATGAATCAAAAAGTTGGTTCTTTGAAAGAATAAATAAAATCAGTAATCCCCTCTTCAAGCTTATCAGAATACAAGGAGAGAAAAAACTCAAATTCATAAAATAAGTAATGCAAAGAAATTACTACAGATTATGTGCAAATACAGAAGATCATAAATACCTACTTTGAAAATCTTTACTCTCATAGGATTGAAAACATAAAAGAAGTGGACAGATTCCTAGAAACATGAATTACCAAGGTTGGATCAAGAAGATATAAAACTTCTGAACAACCCAATATCAGTGAATGAAATTTGAAATGTAATTAAAAACTTACCAACAAATAAAAGCCCAGGCCCTGATGGATTCGCAGCTGGATTAAACCAGAAATTTAGATATGATTTAATGCAACTAGTCCTCAAACTCTTTAATGAAATTGAAAAGGAAGCAATCATATATAATTCATTCTAGG